TTATTTTGACAAATAAACGATTAGGTAGGTTAGATCTTTTTTCCAAAGAATTGCTTAATCTATTCTGACAGACTTTTAACTAAATTAATTAAGAAATAGGCCAGGATGAAATGCTTGTTATAACGAGATACTCGTATATAGTCTATAGTCCAATAGTCAACTTCACCAAGAACTGGATCATCCAAATACTATTTCAATCTGTTAAATCTATTTTGCTCTGATTTTAACGAATGGATGATTAAATAGGTTAGATCTTTTTTTTAACAAGGAATTATTTAATCTGCTCTGTTAAAATTTTAAGTTAATTGAAAAATAGGTAAAGATATAATATTTGTTATAACGAGATATGTAGTGCAATAGACAGCTTCATCAAGAAGTAGATCAATTTAATACTTTTTCTCGAATATTTTAAATCTATTGTGTTTGTATTTTAATGAAGTAATTTTAATGACGCATTTTAATGACTTTGATAGGTTTGGTCCTTTGAAAATTTTTTTGATCTTTCCTGGCAGAATTTTAACTAAATTAATTGAATAATGGGAATTTAAACTACCTTATAATAAACATTATTATTATTTGTCTTAATTATTTATTATTTTATTTTAAGCAATCGAAGCGATCGAGAATCTTTGAACGAAATTTTTTAATGTTCGCAAGTCGCTGTTGTAAAATTTCATCACAGTTTCGCTGCTTCTTATGATGTTGATCATTTTGATTAAAACATATGTTAGCCTTTCAAAAATTATGCCTGTAATGAATCAGCCAATCTGAAGAGGAAAAAAACGGCAAATATTTGTACGAAAAATTCTGCCCTCAGAGTAAAGTTCTCCTTTTCGGGAACAGTAAATAAAAATAACATCTGGAGAATCAGATATAATCTTGAACAATACAGTAAATATCGCTAACCAAACATTGCAAGAGTAATTAAATCGTGTAGGATTTGATGGCTGGCACATGTCTATGGGTATTAAAATTTTGACCCTACGGGACGACTAATATTCTTAAAAAAGGGGGAAAAAATAAAAGATGGATCACAAATAGGTGGTTAGAATGCGTTGAAAGAGATCTTAGAACCGTGAGAGTAGAGAGCAAAATCTGGTTTTGGATCGCTCTGTTTGGAGGAAGCCTTCGCTATAATGAAACAATAGGGCTGTAATGCGCATTAAGAATAATGAATCGGTAGAAAATATAATTTTATTCTATGTTTGGAATTTTATTTTGATGTGAAATATAAAGTTTGTAATTCCACAAAGAAGCAATTTTTTGTTTTTAAGACGTTAGCAATTAGATACATCGGAAACAAAAGGCTATATTCGAAGTAACAGGAAAAGATATTTCGCAAAATAATTGCTATTATTTCTATAGGTCAGCGTACAAGCATTATTTCTTTTAAAATAACTCGCAAATTTTATTTTATTTAAATTTGCAATTTTTATTGGATTTTTGGTTATAATAATTCTATAAATTTTATAAAACATGCTTCCGAAATAGTTTTATTGACAAAGTTAATGTAGAAATTGTTAGAATACTGAATCAACCATCCATCAATAGTAGTGGTTTAACATGAATAATAGTCCTGCAGCAGTAATACTAAGATGTGTGAGAGCGATAATACGAACGCATGAATTTCATCCTGTATTGGTTATAACTAAGAGCGAAGATAAAATATTAAATAGTTAATAGCTAAATAAGAATAAAACATCCTGCTTCAGTAATAGTTAATAGGAATAAGATAACATCCTGCAACAACAGTTTAATATGAATAAAACAATAGTAATAGCTTAATGGGAATAATAACAATGTATGAGGTGGTAGTCAAATATAAATAAAGCATCATGCACTGATAATATTTAAATGCGAATAAAACATCCTACATTAGTTAAAATTGAATGAATCAAAAGGATACTANTCAATTATCTATAACCAAGAATTTATCCCATCGGTCAGCGATAGGGCCGTATATTTCTTCTGCGGGGAGATGAGTAAGGGATGAATTGGTAGCAGTTTTCATATCAAGGAAACGTTAAAGCTCACTTGAAATAGAGACATTTTTTTAGATTTCAGACACACAAAAAAAAAATTTATTTTTTTAATCGTTAATTTGATCACACAAATATTGAGTGAAAAATTTTAATCTTGGAAGAGGATGTGTCCCTTTATTAAATTTTTATGTATATACAGAACGCAAAAAATAAACAAACCACCCAGAATAACTTTTGATCTAATGATCGGATCTTCACGTTTTAGGACTCAATCTTAATGGTTCGGGGAGGTGACCTCAAATATGACAATTTATTAGTGCAGACGATATTATAAATTCATAAATCAGGCTCAAAACCGTATTTTCTCTGGATAAACGTACCTTTTTTCGACGGATTAAGGTTTCTTGCTCCTAAAATATAGGGGTTAGCAGCTATCAAGGAAATATGGTTCCACTCGTTTGGTTAGGAAAGAGGTTTAAAGTTCAGACTTGAGCAAAATCAGAGAGAAAATCCTGAGAAATCGAATTCTAGAAATACGTCTTCTTTAAAATTCGATTTCGCAGGAACTATTCGACCAATTTTGATTAGGTTTCGCATTTTGCCATGTGAAATTACATTTTTTGAAATGATTTTAAAAAATTACACACCGTACAATTCAAAAATGCTTCAACTACTATAAAATAAAATAAGAAAAAATAATAAATCTTTACTAAAAAGATTTTTTCGTATTGAATAATCGTTTGATAAACGAATTTTATAATTGTGAGCAAAAATGTTTCAATTCGCTTAAAAAGGTTTGGAAATATGGCGAAATACGGAAAAAATAAAATCAACATTAAGAGTTCCAAACTTAAGATCTCTCTCCTGACCAAGCTATTGGGACCATATTTCCCAGATTGCTGCTACCCCCTATATTTTGGGGGCCAGAAATCCAAATCCATCGAAGATAAAGGCTTTTTTGCATGTTTTTGTGCCTGATTTCATAACTATAAATATCGTCTTCACTTATTAATTAGCATATTTTGAAGTTTTAGAATTGGAATATCCGATCATTAGATCAAAAGTTATTCAGGGTGACCCGCTTTTTTCTCAGATCCGCACATCGATCTAAGATTTTTACAATTCGATTTAATATCATCAAATCATGTTCTTTTTTTTTCCTTCAAAGTCTGCATTGATACACTCCTCTTTTCAGGGTCGATGAGTTTACCTTATTCATAAACACAGCTCTACACGACACTGATGGCAGATATAATAAAAAAAATGATACAAATCGACTCCAACTAGAGAGAAAAACATGCAGTTAAATTTGAAAAAATTGATAAGCGTTTAAGAAATTAGTTCAAAAATATTTAATAAATATAAAAAGCAGTGAGATTATTTATTATTGATATTTTATTTTTGATGACATGAGCAGGTGTCCGAAATTGAATTTTCCTTAAATAGCTAAATTTTAATACTAAATTATATATTTGCTGCCCCATCTTGTAAAGAATCCGTCTTAGTAATAGTTTTAAAAAAAAAGAGAAAAAAACCCCTACAGATGCTTTATTCATAAACTTATTTTAATGTGAATTGTTTCATGTTTTTCTTATAGTTGAAAGTAAACAAAAAAAACATCCCACAGCAGTAACATTTAAATGTTCTAAAAACATTCTGTCTTAGTTATAGATAATAAAAAAATAAAAAATAAAAAATATTTCAAACAACCCTTTACAAGTGTTTTATCCACTGCATTTTAAAATAAATAAATTTTTCTAATTTTAACTGATATTTTTCGTTAAATTTGAAATATCCTAATGGATGAGTAACTTTTCAATTTTTAATTAATTATTACTAATTTCTTGTCATTTTTTACTTAAACTGCCACCTATTTGAGAATAATCCATGTGCATAACCTACTAACCACTCTTTCCACTCCGCTGAACTGTGCACATTGCATGTCGGTAAGCTGATGCACGAATTTTCTTATCCAAGCGTTACATAACAATATGTTTGGAAATTTTTCAAGTATTATAAATAAAAATGAAATTGATTTTCAAAACAGATTGAAATAGCACACAAAATATGCTTTCGGTGATACTATTAGTTATCAAGCAGTATCAAGCTAGCGTCGGCTAAATACGGCATTCGTACGCACAGGTTATCGCGTGGAAACTGGCTACATGCAGCTCTCGTGCACATAGGTCATCGCGTGGATGCCGGCTAAATACGGCACTCGTACACATAGGTCATCGCGTGGAAGCTGGCTAAATACGGCACTCGTACAGATAGGACATCGCGTGGAAGCCGGCTAAATACGGCACTCGTACAGATAGGTCATCGCGTGGAAGCTGGCTAAATACGGCACTCGTGCACATAGGTCATCGCGTGGAAGCCGGCTAAATACGGCACTCGTACAGATAGGTCATCGCGTGGAAGCCGGCTAAATACGGCACTTGTGCACATAGGTCATCGTGTGGATGCCGGCTGAATACGGCACTTGTGCACATAGGTCATCGTGTGGATGCCGGCTGAATACGGCTCTAGTAACGAAAAGGATTAAAAAGTGCTTTATTGTATCTGAATTTTGATTAGATTCCATAATATCCAGCATATTTGTTTTTATATTTTTAAATTTTTATAAATCTTTTACAGAAATATTTATAAGGTTCTTCTTTTTAATGAGCTCTGTCATATTAGAGATTAGCTCAGCAGATAGAGATTTTGCACTTAGGTTACTATATATGATATTAAGATTTTTAATTCTCCAATTTTCTTCTATTGCTTAGCAAGCACGGAATTTTTGACGGAATATCCAAGTATTATTGATAATTATAAATGTATATTGAAGAAATTGATGAATATATTATTCCAAATCGACGCACACATATGAATATTTTCTTAAACTTACAGCTTATCTCCTAAAACAAAAACTATTTTGATTCGAAACATATTTTGAATAGAATATTATTCTCCCCGTTTCTCTTTTTACTATAATATCATTTTCTCTTTTTCCCTATACCTGGAGGCTTATTCTCCTTTTCTATAACGCAAAACATAGAGGTGTATATTTATTCTGATTATTATTTCATAACATGATTTAAAAATGAAACAACACAATGAAGATGAATTCAGTGAAGTAAAATAGTGCATGAAAAGATAAATTAGCATACCTCAGTCGACGTAATGCTAGCCAAGATAGAATAATCGGCAATCGTCACAGAATTACCAGCTACGTAAGCAGTCTTGGAAAGGAACATCTCTAAATATTCTAAGGCCTTTTTGTAAGCTTCTTGCTTTTCCGAATCGGCAGTTTCTCCTTTAGAAATGGTAGGGTACTGCAATAGGAAATTATTTGTATAGGATGAAGTTCAAAAGAGAATACAGGGTGTTCCACTATAACCACCCTTAATGTAGAGGATGTTCAAATAAAGCATCGCTTTTCATACATAATTTTACCATTTTTGTTAAAAATTAAATTAAAGAACGTACGCATTACGCTTCGCTTACTAAAATTTAAACGGGGAAAAGTTAAAAACGTTATCAAAACTGGCAAATTATTTTTAAGGAGGACCGGATTAATTAGTAAAACCAGTTTGGTTGCCTAGAAAGTGCTACTAATAGTCACCTTTAATCCTTTCTCAGCTTGTTTAGGAGATTTGAAAGGTTATGGGTGTTTTTCATGGGACAGGAAGCTTTTGGAGTCCGTCCCAAGTTGCTCTAACTATGGCGTTCGAAAACATATTCAAAAAAAATTTCGGTATTCATTTAAAAATAAGAGTGAAGATATTCCTGGCTTCTCTCTCTGTTATAAAAAAACGATTCTCTGTGGAATTCAAATGTTTTGAAAACAAGTTACTTTTTATTTTAATACAAAATATTTTCCAGCGCTGCACCGAAAATATTTTTGTCACTTTTTCATCAAAATAAAAATCTTTATAAAATATACATTTAGAAACTGAGAATTGTATAAGTGTATTTTAAGCAGAATGGTCAAAACCACATTCAGCAAGAACTTTCCCTACGTTCGTAAAAATCTTGAATTTTTATTTTATTATTCTTTAATGTTTTAACTTATGCGTTGTCATTTAATTGTCCGATAGATATGTTTAAAATATTTGTAACAGAACTGTTATTAAGAGAAGAATGACTACATTAAAAAATTATGATTCGAATGAATCGAAAAATCAACCATTAAGCGATTGTCAACCGTTAAACGATGCACTTCTCAGATGGTAAAGAAATTTGTAGCGAAACAGGCTCATTCTCACATTCCCTGCTAATTATTCGTCACATTTCGATATCGTTTCTGCTTCTTCGTTGCATGAATAATATTTTGTGATCTCTAATGGGCATACTTTATTTGGTTAAACAGAAACAAAACAAAATAAGGACTCTAAAATCCTATATTAAGGGCGGTGAATACAGAACATCCAGCAAATTTCTTTTTAAATTTGTCTTAAAAATATGCTACTTTGATTAATGTTAAAGTTTTAAAAAAATTTATTAAACAGACAAGAGAGTAGCGAGGAATGATTGATGGTGAGTGAGGGGTTAAAAGAATCAAAGTTACTTTTGTAGATAAATGAAACGTAAGAGCAATTCCAATTATATGATTTTGAGGTATTTTATTTCAAGCAACCATGATTGACCTTTATAGTGATTCACCAGAAATTGATAAGAGATATTTTACTCATTTAAATAATAATCAGTTGTTGGTTAAATCATTAAAGGCTGTACTTTTTCCACACCCGCTTCTGTAACTTACTGTACGTAAAACAACATGCACCCATAATACTTACCAAAACCTCTTGCTGCGCTTTATAAAGGACATCTATATCAAAATAAAGCAATCTGTCCACTGTAGCTCTTATTTTGGGATTTTTAGGATAGAGAAGACTGTTTGGTGCATACTGGTTCACAAGATATTTGAGTATCGCTCTACTAAAATAAAAATAAAAAACTTCTCAGGATTTCATAAAAAAAAAATAATAATAATAATCCATCCTTTTTTTCAAATTTACAATAAGTCTCTTTTGTAATTATAATTTATGTAAAATTATAATAATATTAATTAATAATCATTTCGTATATAGCACAATAAAGACAAAAAGGATAAAAAGATCCCTTTATTTACGATTCAAACTCTATTTGCGCTTCTGTTTTCAGATTTCGTTATCTGCCAATCTTATTACGAAAATATTTTAATTCATTTTTGAAAGATTCCAGTACGTGTAAGTTCATTTGAATTAACTACTCGTTTTTTAGATTACGTTTTGTGTTTTGTTCTGTATTTTTCTTACATTTTATTTTCTGTTTTTTACTTGATTTGTTTTATTTTGTATATTTTTCACTTAATGTGTTCTATTTTCGTTTCAATTTTTTGAGTGATCCTCTATATTGATATGGCTCTATATAGATGCTTTGGCTATATTGATATAATATTAGAAAGCACTCCTTTTTGCGGATATAATCGTGTGAGCTGATGTTAAGATTACATATTTTCCACATTTTGGCTTTCTGGCTTTTTAATAACTTTTTTTTCAAAATTAAATTTTTTTTTAAATATTTTTTAAAATTATGTTATTTTAATAATTTTCTTATATATATA